TATATATATATATATATACATATATTGCATCATTTCCACTAAATTCTGTGTTACTCAAAGATACTATTGTTTTTTGTTTGAAATGTAGGTGCATAGGGTGTTGCAGTTATGAGACAGTGCTATATCTGATTGCATTGCTATATTGTTTTGTAAAATATTCATAAAATCATTGATTTACATCATAAAATGAAGTGAAATAGATTTATTTGCATGTATGACCACGCATTATTCTGTTGTTACACTTACATCTAGATGAGTTTATGAATGTATCATGCTGTTTATGTTGTGTTTGTAATTATTTAAGGGTATGAGTTTGTGCATGCATGAAATTAATTATCAGCTGTACTATCCATTATGTACTTCTTCAAAGCCTCATCTAAGCCTACTACTTTCAAGTATAAACTTAACTAATGAATATATTGTCACATTTCTATACAGGGGCTAATTTTCTAAATTTGATCTATTTTGGCTGTTCTGAGTCGTTATTATTGCAATTTTTAAAGAAAAAATTAGCAGCTTTCCTTTTGCACATTTTGTTTTCTGTAGGGATAGAATAGTAATGAATGTTGTACTTTGTTCTTTTCCAACTCTAAATAGGTGAGATAAGGCTATTGATGATAATATTGTGCTATAATTTGCGCAGGTTGGGCAGCTGAGAGAAGTATCAAATAAAGCTCACAATGCTGAACTAAGGCTATTCTTGGAAGTGGAATATGGACCGGTATTGTATATCTCTACAAGTTTCTTATATTTGTTCTCATGATTTGTTTGCTCATAACTGTACGCATATTCTTGGGACATTTGCATACATAGCACACAATTTTTATGCATTTACATATCTCACAACTGAACTTCCATATTTACATACATAGCACTTTGGTGCATTACACTTATGCATGAAAATATGTATTTCACTTTAAAAAAGTGATAATAGTACTATTTTTGATGTGTTATTAAAGATTTGAGTGCAATGTGTGTAATTATGAAAGTTTAGGTGCGAGATATGTAAATTCATAAGGATTGTGTATATATGTAAATGCTCCCTATATTCTTGTATATTGCTACATATATATATATATATACTTTTATTATATAGGACCTTCGTGTTCTCCCTCCACTGGACAAGACTAAGGAAGATATACTGCTATTCTTTAAACTTTATGACCCTGAAAAAGAAGAGCTAAGGTAGTTGGTATTCTTCTATTTCTTATTAATTTTTTCTATTCTTATCTTGCACTAAGTTTAGTGCTTTAAATTTGCTCTTTCTACTCGATAGATATGTTGGAAGGCTTTTTGTGAAAGCTTTAGGGAAACCATTGGAGATATTGTCAAAATTAAATCAAATGGCTTCTTTCCCTCAAAATGAAGAGATTGAACTTTATGAGGTTAATCCATTTAAATCTGTATTATTTATTTTTGTGTTGGTGATTTGTCCCTAAATCATGCTAAAACATCCTGACAACAAATCTTCTTTCAATGCTGCCCAGGAAATAAAGTTTGAACCAAGTGTAATGTGTGAACACATTGATAAGAAGCTATCTTTTCGATCCAGCCAGGTTTGTTGAATTTATTATTTAAATTCAATTGTAGCCTATTTTAATTAGTTCTAACTCCGGATTTCCATTTCAGCTGGAAGATGGTGATATTATTTGTTATCAAAAAGCTCCTACCCCGGAAAATGAAGAGAAATATCGTTATCCAGATGTTCCATCTTTTTTGGAATATGTTCATAACCGGCAGGTAAAATGGTGATTTATATCCATTTTTTTCTGCGAATTTAAGCATTTATTATGTTTTCTTTATAATTGATTCGCCTCACACCCCATCCGCTTCTCATCCTGAATATTTTCTTCCTTGTGATTGTCCCCATCCGCTTCTCATCCAGAAATCCTATTCCCATGCTCTTCGTTTTCCTTGTCTTGATAATGATTGGTGTGGTGCATGTACTTAATACCATGCCATGAGTTGTTTTCCGTTTTTAGTTGAATTTAAATTCATTACTTGAATGCTAAATGTTCTTTTAAATCTAATTATAACACTATTGAATACATATTTTTCTTATAAGCATCATTTTCTTAGGCATCATACATCAAAATAAAGTTAAATGATAGAGAATAAGATAATTAGAGCAACATCAAAACTCGAAGTTTCGTTATATTCATAGCAAGGCTCACATCATGCATTTTTTACTGGTATAAATTTTCGAATTTGTCATTTTATCAACTTGGAAAAAAGTTCAAATCCAATGAATTAAGCATTTGATCTTTCTAAATTAATTATGGGAAATAACTAATTTGTTTCTTGCAGAGTAATCTATGATTCAACACGCGAGTTTGTCACGCCAGCTTCAGATACCTCTAACATCCATTATTAGAATCTAACACCATCTTTGCGTGTAAAATAGCTTCTAGAGTACGGTATATAGTGGTTCATAAAGTGCGTTCATGAACTGAAGTCAAACTAGATATATTAAAAATTGGATTGACACCAAAACTTTTTCTTATTTTAATTCATAAACATTTGTTCGATCTTTTCTATGATTTTATTTAATTTCTTAGACTTTAATTTGGAAGACATTATTATAGTGATACCAGATTTGAATTCCACTTCTTTCTTTATATTAAGATTAAGCTTAGAATTTCCATAATTAGCTGCCAATTTTTGTGAATATTTTCTTGTAAATTATGCAAATGGGAATGTTTAATATGATACAAGGCAAGTGATAAAAATGTTAAATGCGTTTTAAAAAATACCATTAAAAACTTGTTACAAAGATAAGATGATAATGAAAATTAGAAACAAATAGTGTGCTATATCATTCGTATCTGAATAGACCTTAAAGCAAGCTAATCAATTGGCTTAAAGATCCGTTGTGGTCAATTTTGTACTCTTAAATTCGACCATAGATGGAATTTTAAAGTTAGTATTTATGTAATAGCACTTCTCGTTAAGAAATTCGTTGAAATATTCACATAAAATTATTATCTTTATGAGGTTATGCTTATGAGTTTTTAAGGCAAGATATCAAACCAATAATAAAATCAAATTCAGTTTGTTGTGTAAAGGTTATTTTGTCAAATGAGTTAAATCATCATTTTTTTTAAATTTATTTATTAATTTTGGTAGGCATGATTTCTTAACTTCATCTATTTTTTTTTGGAAGTGCTATAATCAATCCATTTATAGTTATTTTATGTTTAGAGTTTTTTTTTTAAATTAAAATTTTTTATTAGTTAACAATAAATTAAATTTTTATACATAGTTGAGATTCAAAATCAACATTAGATTCAAACTTCTATTTATAGTTAGGTTTTAATATGATCTTACTTTCAATTTTAGTTTTTGAAGGTGGTTTAGTTGCAAAATATATCTTATTTCCAAATTCAATCTCGAAGTGAGATTCTGACTCTTGCTCAAGTTTAAGTTTATTTTGAAGACTATTATTTTTCTCTCAGATAATCAAATTTTGATATTACTTTTAATTTATGATTTCTTGTTCAAGCAAGGGTTCTTGGTCACGAAAAAATAGGTGTAAATTTAGATTTAACTTAGATATGAATCTAGATATAACTTCATTAGAATTAGATTCTTCTGTTAATGAAAGTCATTTTCTGCTTCCAATACATCATCATAAGAATTTTAACAAATTACAATTTCTTCGTTAAGATCAGATTTAGCCATGCATCGTTTTTGTTTAAGTATATGTTTGATAGGCTTTTAAGGAGGTGTTGATTTATTTGGAGATTTTATATTTAGGTGTAATAATTCTGATTATTTCATCAACCAAGGAAGTTGATAAAGCCTTAAATAGCTTGGTGAATTATAGATTAATTTAAATTTATTCTCTCATACACGACTTTCAGAATGATAGCCTTAAAATAGTTGCCTTGAGGCAAATGTGTTTAGTCGCAAGGCTTGTTAAACAACCAAATTATTTGGACACTATATTCATTTATTTATAAGTTTTAAATTGTTCGTGTAGTTGATTTTATATTTATTTAATGATAGGTATAGCTCATCAAGTTTATTTTTGGTTTCACTTGAAACAATTCACCAAAACCATTGAGTATGGCCCAGTAGTTTTGATTCATTAAATCCAACTCTGAGAATTAAATAAATGTTATTGTTGAGATAAATTTTAAATCATCGATCTAATTTGGAAGATCCCTAAGGCTGTTCCTCTCGTTGAAAGTAAATATGTAATCTTGACCGCAATAGCCATCTTATTGTCATCTGGAACCCCACATATTTGATTTCAAATATTTCGCTTTTTTTTTTGCTTTTTAGTAATTGACATAGTTATTATGCTCTACCTCTAGCTGATATGTTTATTGAATTTTAATTTGTTTTATCACAATTTGATACTGGCCTTCTCATGGTTTAGGGTTTATCAAAGAAAATCAAGTGTATATTCCAAAAAAAAAAAGGAAAAAAAAGAAATGTACCAAAGATCAATATGTGTAGTCCACTACTCTTAGTTCGACTAATTTTAGTCTCTCAAAAATCGCATAAAACTTACTAGACAATAATTTAAAGAATGTGAAAAAATGAAATTTTGTAACAAATCTGAGAATGAATTTAAGCCATTTAGTGACTAAGATTTTGCTTGGAAAAAGAAAAAAATCTGTAATGGGAGTTTGGCAAAACCATTCACATTCAAAATCAGTTACAGAGAATATAGATGAAAAAATAAACATGGATAGAAGTCACCAAATATATAGGTCTCACATGAATCAATAGGGACTCATAGATTTGTCCCACACCAAGCAGTTCACGTTTATGTGCTCACGCTAGTTTGAGAGGAAGCAGGATCAATTATAGATAAAAGTGACAAAATGGTCTACTGACTCTTTATGAAGGTCTATTTTAGTCCCATAGTCTGAAAATGCCAATTTAGTCCCTTGGCTTTTTTAACAGGGGCAAAAGTAATCCTTTATGAGAACTATTTAAGCCCATATTAAAAGTGTCAGGGGACTAATTTGTCAATTTTATAGAGTCTGGGATTAAAATCGACTCATGTAAATAGTCACGGGACTTTTGGCACTCACTCAATTATTATACTGATATTGATTGTTCTATATCTCAAGGGTTCTATAGATAAAAAAAAAAAATCTCTGCTTCCAATCATTAATCCAACTATTTTGCGTTTCAATCCACTCTAAGAAGTTTCTAATCCAGCCTGGTTAAATCAACAAGACTCGGTTTCTAGTACTCTTAAACCAAGAGCATATGGAAATCCGCATCTGAAGATAGGCAATAATCTAATAATGAAACAATTAAGGAGACCGGCAATAGCAAACAACTGCAATTGCTGAAGTATGGAGCTAATTAATATACTGATACTTTAACTCCCTATTTCACAACTAATTTTGTTCCTGTACTCTTATTTTTTACATTGTTATAGCTTTTTTAGTTCCTTCTTCTATCATTTTATTCATAAGATTTCATTTTTTGCGACTTTCGATGTAGGTGGTCCATTTTCGGTTATTGGATAGGCCCAAGGAGGATGATTTTAGTTTGGAGTTGTAAGTCTAAAACTTCTCTTGTTGCTCTGCACACTAACTTTTTATGGGCTAGATGATTTTGTGATTCTCTCCTATTCTGACAAATTATTATTATTATTATTATTATTATTATTGTGCTTTAGGTCAAAACTTTTCACCTACGACGATGTTGTAGAACGAGTTGCTCGACATATCGGCCTCGATGACCCGTCGAAGATAAGATTGACATCTCACAACTGCTATTCTCAACAACCTAAACCCCAACCCATCAAATACCGCGGGGTAGAGCATCTTTCAGACATGCTCATCCATTACAATCAGGTTCTTGTGCTCTAAACATTGTTTTCAATTCCCAATATGTTTTATGGTGCGTGTTAACACTAACTGAATGCATGCATAATTGTGGTTTCGTGTGGAACAGACCTCAGACATATTGTACTACGAGGTTTTGGACATTCCTCTCCCAGAGTTGCAAGGTTTAAAAACTCTTAAAGTCGCATTTCATCATGCCATGAAGGATGAGGTGCACTTACTGTTTAATGCTATTGTTCCCTCACATGGGAGTTGTTTTATATTTAAGAAGGAAGATTTACATACACACCAATCGGTTCCTATGTATTTATTTATGTAACACCTAAACTTTAATTTCTACATGCATTACCACCTTACCTATGGGCGAAATTATTTTAAATTTAAAATGATGGATGGTTTTTTTTTTTTTTGATGTGATATGAATGATTTGGGTGGTATAAATGTAAAAAAACAAATTTTCGATAAATATATTAGAATTGGGTGTATGTATGGAAATGCCCCATTTATAAAAACATGATTGCTCTTTCTTTTGCAGGTAGTGATTCACAACATCAGGCTACCCAAAAGCAGTACTGTGGCCGATGTGATCAATGACTTGAAAACCAAGGTTTGTGGAGCATATTTCTTTTCTAGTGTTTTTGACTTTCACTGAATTTCATTCACATCTCAAGCATGAACTTATTTTGAATAGGTTGAACTATCTCATCCCAATGCGGAACTCCGATTAATTGAGGTTTTCTACCACAAAATTTACAAGGTACTTTTTGGGATTATTGAGCTTGTTAAAGTATGGGAAAATTACACATGCATCACACAATTCTTATATATTTGCATTATTTCACACCTATGCTTTTATATTTGAAATTGACTTTTTCCTTAAAAATATTGTAGTATGTTTTATGTGATATTAATGTGAGTGCTGTATGTGTAAATTTAAATGTATTGTTGCGTGATTTGTAAATTCATAAGAATTGTGTGCTTTGAGTGTAAATGCCTCTTAAAGTTTGCTGAAGTGAATGATGTTAGCATTCACTTTCTAATTGCAGAGGTTATACTGATCAAGTTGTGTTGGTAGTGCTTTGATTTCTGAAGTTATTTTTCATTGATTAATTGCTCCAATGATGTGCTGAAGCGTTAAAACGGAAATTTTAATAATTTTTTTTGAGTAGAGATTTGTGGAGTATCTATTGAGGAAGCTTTTTAGGTTCTGGAGTTGATCTATTTTGAGCTTCTTTTATCTGTCATCTTTACTTTTTTTTTGCTCTTAGATCTTTCCACTCATTGAGAAGATTGAGAACATAAATGATCAGTACTGGACCCTGCGCGCTGAGGAGGTAAGTTCCTGTTGCTTCTGATCTTTTTTTGCTTTATTTAAGCCCTTAATTTTGTGATTAATATGCCATTATCATCATCATATGTTTGGTAAATTTAGATACGTAGCACGCAATTCATATGTATTTACTATTCTCACACCTTAACTTTCATATTACATATATATGACACTTTGTTGCTTTAACTCTATGCATGAGCAGGTGTAATTCGCTTTTTAAAAAGTGGTCATATTACTATTTTTGATGTGATATTGAAGCTTTGAGTTCTATATGTGTAAATATGAAAGTTTAGGTGTAGATATGTAAATAGATAAACAATTGTATGCTAAGTATGTAGATGCCTCAAATTTGCTTTGTGGTAGAACTTTAATTTTTTTAACATTAGTGAATACAATTTATGCTGCAGATTCCAGAAGAAGAGAAAAACCTTGGTCCACATGATCGCTTGATTCATGTTTATCACTTCATGAAGGATCCTAATCAAAACCAAATGGTAAATTATATGGAATTTGGTTACAAAATGTTTATTACACCTTATCTATGCATGAAAAGGTGTATTTCACCTTTTAAAAGTTAAAATTGTGCTATTTCTTATGTTATATGAAAGATTTGGGTGGTACAAATGTAAAATGTGAAGTTTAAGTTTTAGATATGTAAATACGTAATAATTGGCCTGGTATGTATGTAAATGTCTATTTTGTTATGATTACCAAATTTATTTAATCATTCCACTTTATTTTTATTGCAGCAGATTCAGAATTTTGGGGAGCCTTTCTTCTTGGTTATCCATGATGGCGAAACTCTAGCTGAGATTAAATTTCGCATTCAGAAGAAACTGCAGATTCCTGAAGAGGAATTCTCAAAGGTAAAACTTTATTTATGGTTCTAAACACAAGCCTCTCTCTTTTTTTCTTTGCTTATTTTGAACAAACATTTTTTCTTGCTTGTGTTTTAGTGGCATATTCCTAATTTTTTAGGATTATGATTCACTTAATGTTGCTGTGCTGTGGGATTGAGAAAACTGTTTGCATTGAAGATTTCCTTCTCTGTTCTTTCTACTCGTGTATATTGTTTATTTTGCCTTTTTTTTTTCTTAATGAGAAAAGCGTCAAAATGTTCTCCTGTTTTTCTGCACGAAAGCCATTTGGGTCCTAGAGTTTATGAAAGTGTCAATTTAATCCGCAAACTCTTAATATCGGTTGAGATAGCTGCCTATTTTAGCCACCATTAAAAGAGTTTGGGGATTAATTTATCATTTTTATAAAGTCTGGGACTAAAATGATCATGTAAATATTCAGGGGACTATTTTTGGCACTTTTACTCTTTTTTTAATGCTTATCAATTTTTATTTTGTTGATAAAGTGATGACCAAGTGCCAAGCAATGTAAAATTGCTTGTATAATTTTTGAGTTGGATATCACTAGGGGGACTGATTTAAGGGTGGAAGGTGGTCGTGGTTAAGAACTCTTAATGCTACTAGTATGATATATAGTATGATTTTGACAAATTACAACTAGTTAATTTTTTACATTTTTTTAATATAAGCAATTTGTACTAAATTTTAAAACCAATTAATAATAAAATGATCAAAATAATCAAATGTCAGGAAGAAATTATAATCATATAAAATAAGTAGCTAAATTGAATTAATTTTCACAACTTATACTTTTGACAGTGTATCATTTTTGAAACAAAACTGACAACAACAAATAGGTTAATATCAAATAATATAGAAGTAAAAAACGAGGAACAAAAAGACCAATATAAGGAATAAATAAATAAGTAAAACTAAGCCTCACATTGGTACAAAGACGTGGCTAGCCTCAAAAGTAAGCATTTGCACTTTTATTGTACTCGAATGAATCACACATTCAATTTGTACTTAATATTATAATTTGAAAAGATAATTTAATTAAACTAATACTTGTTAATTATATGTTTCAAAATATTATGGACAGATGCAACCAAAGAAGTTAGTTTATAAAACTAATATTAAAATATAAATGAAATTAGTAGATATTATAGTTTATAGGAAGATAAATTTCTTATGCATTAGAGAAATTAAATGTTTTGTAGAAAATGTTAGGGAGATTGGTAGCTTATGATTTAAACTTTGTTATTCATGTATGAGTGGTACTATAAATAGTTTTGGTGTAATTATAGATAAGAATCTAAACGATAATGTTGTAAAAATTAATAGAATAATTAAAATAGTTGGTGGAACAATAATGTGCAAGAAAAAAAAAATATTAGTTCAAATGCAAAAGCCTGGTGGATTGAAAAAAAATATAAGGGGGCTCATAGGATTGAAAAATTAGTTTAGATGTAAAAGCTAATACTTTGTGAGTAAAATAACGAGAATTAATAAGTTGTAAAATATATACCTGAAGAATCAAAAGGAAAAGCTCTTTTGAATAAAAATAGTTGGTGGTGGAATAATAATGTAAAAAAAAAAAAAAAGATAAAGAGTTGTAAAAATTAGTTTAGATGTAAAAGCTTCAAGGATGAAAAAAAATATAAGATGGCCTATATAAAGTTTAAGAAAATAATTTGTGATGCTAACAATTTCGTTTTTAATGATCTTTATAATAGCTCATGTATTAAAGATGGTGATACATGCATGCATGCATACATATATATATATATATATATATATACATACATACATACATACATACATACATATATATATATA